CTAGCGGAGCGGATCGCCAATAATATCAAACAATAAAGTGCGAAATATTTACATACATACTTGGCCTGTGTATACTTTTGTTTTTATATAGGCACGTATGAGTACGTCTATATCTATATTTGAAATATTGTAGTGTGCAGGTCATAAAGCCAATAGGAATTTTCAATACGGTCATACACCCAGTGGTATTTTTCAAATATAGTGCTTAGGGCAATGGAAATCTGGTTTTGTTTGTTCAGTTTAAAAACCTTCCTTCAAGATTCGAGACAACTTCTCGACATCTCCGTGTAAGAAAGAGCTTTATTGTACATTGTTGGATATTATATCTATGTACCACTGATATTATACATCTAACCATCAGGAATTGTGCACAAAAGAGAAGAATTATGACAATGAGACATGGTTATATGATTGCCTTTCTTTCCGTTCTTACTGTGTCATATGCTCTGTGGAAATATGAGCTGGATCGTCCGAAACTAGTACATAAACCCCAAGACAAGGTCAGAACATACACGCACAATGAAATTGCCAAGAATCGTACAATGTATATCCAAGCTAAGTTTGGGAATTCGTGTTATAAAACACAAGTGTATGACACTTGGTGGCAGACATTCACTCTCCCACCAGGGCTGAAAAGATCCAATCAGTCTGACTGCCAGAAACGTCTACCAAACGTTATTATTATTGGTGTAAAGAAATGTGCGAGTGACGCTCTAAGGGATTTTCTAATTGTTCATCCCTCTATCGTTTATAGCCATGCTCCTAAGACATACAACGGGATAAAAGTGACTGGGTCAGGAGAAGCTCACTTTCTTGATAGACATTACGATCACGGCATTGATTTCTATAGAAACTTGTTTCCGTACAGCAAACCAGGCGACACGCTATTGGAAAAAACACCACAATACCTAAATTTCCCGGACGATGTTCCAAAGAGAATCTACGAAGATGTTGGACCACACACAAAAATCATAGCGATTGTCTGCGACCCAGTAACTAGAGCAATTTCTGATTACGTTTTCGAGAAGAAACATAGGTTTTACAAATATTTAGTACCCAACATGATATACACAATACGCTCGAATTTTTCAGATTCTGTTACAGAAAATAGCCGTCAAGGAAATATCGATGCTGGAAATGATTTGATAAACGTCGGTATATACGCATATCATTTAGTAAGATGGACTGAGTATTTCCCACTGTCACAAATACATCTTGTAGATGGAGGTGTTTTCCGTAATGATCCATTGAGTGAGCTTCGACGCCTAGAGACATTTCTTGGATTACCTGTTTTTTTCAGAAATGAACATTTTTTTCGTAATCCAGACACAAATATGTTCTGTGTTGCATTTCCTGAACATCGGTGTTTAAGCAAAGAAAAGAAAGGACAGCATCACCCGGATGTGGATGTTAAAACTATCGATCGTCTACGCGAGTTTTATAGACCATATGATCGTCAGCTGGTGGAGATGTTTGATCGCATATTCTCCTGGATGGATACCGATATTTTGCTGCCACGTGGAAGACATTGAGAAGTATAAGTAGTATATATCTTGTGTTAATAACAATAAATAGTATTCTTCTCGCAATAGCACGTATCATGCTTCACACACAGTAAACCATTATTTCACTCACTAGGATTGTTGAATATATATGACCTATTCAAAAACAAACTATGCATATTCATCCATGATCTGCACCACCATAGACTCCCTCCGATAACTGAAAATTACTTCACTTTACCTTTATCGTCAGCACTGCACCCGGTTTTCATCGCAATCCAGCTTCAAACTTCCCCCTAAGAATACTAACCTTAGCCAATTTTCAATAGACTTCCAGGGCGCTAAACTCTGGAACAATTTGCCAGCACATGTAAAATACATTGTTAGTCGAACCGGTTTTAAAAAACAACTGAAAGTATTTGATCTCACCCTATTCCATCCCTTTTATATAAGCATGTTTTTTCTGTGTATTTTCAACATTCGCTTTTTAGTTTTTATTTACTAGTATTCGGATAACAAGGTTTGGTATGGCACTGTTTTTTTTTGCCGGTGCACTATATTATATAATTTTGCTACATGCATTTCCTTCTGATATTTATTTATTTAGTTTGTTTATTATAAAGTTACTTATTTAGTTACTATTTGTGTATATAATATTTATATACACCATCCTTATTAGAACAGTATGCCCCTTTTGTCGCCCTTATATTTCATACATTTAAGATTACTTACAAGTCAAACTCTGGGAAGAAGGCTCGACTAGGTTCGCTATAGCTTCTGCTCCCCAGCCATATTATACATATTTACTTAGAATTTTGTTTATTTATTTATTTGTTTATACATGTACATTTATTCATTTACGTACTTACTTCTACTGTAACTATTTTCACTTTGTATAACATGGGAAATAAAACAATAACAATTAAATAGTATTTGAACACAAAGCTTGTTTGCGGGCCTATGACCACTTCAATGACATTATTTTCCAATAGTATATAAATGTTTTTTCTTTTGTTAATTTACGCAATGGCGTCAGCTGAATAAAATGTATGTTTACACACTGGTAATATAATCAATATAAATATTAAGAATCAGCACTGTACATGAGGTCTGAAGTATTTCGGAGTAACGATGGGATCACACATGTTGATGTATGCGTCGTGAAGCTGTAATTATCACTGGATATGACATGTTCGCAAAACCACATTTGAAATCAAAATAATCCGTTGTTTGACATTGTGAATTTCTTTCGTTTTTATGAAGGGGATTGCAGTAAATTTACCAAGTAAAATCATATTTATTAAAATTATCGTTTATACACGAGTAGTTTTACTACTTGTTTTGCCTTTGTGACGTCAAATGGTACACCAAGAAGCACAATATCACGCGTGCAAATTCGCGTTAGAACCCAAAACGGTATGGGCGCGCATACGAACTTCCGGGAAAGTAGTCTATGGTGACACCACTACGATCACGTGATTTCATAATTAAGCCGTTAGACAATTTTATTTCTTCCATTTTAAAAAATTAGCTTTCTCCTGATTTGTAATACTGACATTCTTGAGCTGTACTGTATGTGGATATCTGTTCCACTATTATCTCATGTAGCAATCCTTGCATTTCAGTATACACATGATCTAGCTGACCTGATTAGTGATGGGTTAAAATTCTTGCATATTAATTACCTAGTTTGCATACTAATTAGTCAATAGTTAACTTTTATACTGAATCTCGAAAACTAATCATCGCATTTAAATGAAACTTGGTAGATATATAATCGTGAAAATGCCCAGACTTGATTAGTTTTAGGTTAACATCTGTATACATGTATTTTAATATACTAATTTACATAATAATTAGTCATTTTTTAACTTAAATTCCCGTTCTGAGTTTATTAATCAAAAATATCGCATAGCATCTGCTTACATAGGAGAGTGACATTGTCAAGTACCGGCAATCAATCATGATTATATTGAGAAAAATAACGAGAATTCAAATCGAAAATCCAATTCACCATAATAATACTAGAGTTGACATTTCAATGAAAGTGAACAAAAGAATAAATTAACAAAGCACGTGTCATTAACAAAGGATTGCATGGACATTTGAATCACATGGCTAGAACAATAGCAAAAATGTACATACCCGTCAGTTGGTCAAACTTAGCAAATACAACACAGTCTGGTTTGCTGGAGTCACAAACTGTACTAGTGTTAAACACATTAAGTTGAAATGAGCTGCCTAAAAACATTCGCAAACAAACTCTGGACTGAGTGGATCAGTGGCCAGAGAGGTAAAAAGAAGAGATGCTTCTCAGACGATGCTTCTCAGTGCTGAGTCTCATGGGAAATATGCAAATGCTCTATTGTTACTCTTTGTACACCCTTTATTATTTCGTAATAATTAATAAGTTACGTTAATTACAATACAGAAATCACTTATCCTAAATAAATTGTTTAAACACATATCTACATTATCAAAACAGATCAGTAGATATCATCAAAAATAATACAGATTAAATAGTGCCCTCAATTGTCAACTTTACTTAGCTCACATACGTAAACGCTACACAACACACATGTAGATTCGTTGGTTCCCGGCGTCCTTTGCGAATGACAAGTATGACGCAGGAATCAAGTAATCGCCATATCGTTCCACTGGGCCGAACTGAGTGACGTAATCTGAAAACATTTCATTCATTCCTCCTGCTTCGACGTCATACTTGAGGTTGGTTCTAATATTTCTCGCTATTTTTGTACAAAGTAATACAAAAAAAAAAGTGTTATATTCGTGCAACTTTTGAGAGCGTGGGAAACCTCTGCTTTATATAAGGAACGACCACAAGGGTAAGCGCTGATGTCAGGTAACTAAGAGAAATAAAACTAGGAACGAGAACGTGATTGACCAATCAGTACTCTGTAAGCATTACTAGTGTGCCATGACACTTGAGGTGGGAACCAGCCAAACATGTAGACAACATTTTCCAAAGTGTATTTTGGTCAAGAAATAGAATGAAAAGATTGCCCATTATTCAGTCATAGCTTAGGATATAATAAGTTTTCTGATTTTTGAGAATTTGTGAAATATGAAAAATGCCCTACTACAAATTCAACTCATCTCGCGAACATTACTGCCATTTGTGTCACGTGATTCGTCTATGGTAAACATCTCAAATTGACTGCACTTTTTTTTTGCTATATTTAATGGGATGAATCAGAAATCTTGTTTTCGAAATCATTGCACAACGGCTTGAACTTGTAGCTCACCCTTCTCAAAAACGTAGTTTTATAAATACATAATATGTGGATGTATAAGTACAAGTATGTTAAAGCGGGGAGTCGTCACCTGCGCATGCGTCAGATGGCCATAGCGTGTCATTGATTACAAACAAGCGTCTACCCATGAGCCTTTGCGTTTTTAGCGTGTGTTGTTATCGTCGCTTTGGACTCAATTCCTGCGCGTGCGCAGGTAACGACCCTTCCGCTTTAAGGTGCTGTACATATCAAATATGGTGAATACGACACCAGTTTCAAAAATGAAATTGGCAGATCGAGTTATTCCATATGTACAAGTGATACAGTTATTAACGTCTCATCCTTACACCCATGGTCCCCATGCATGGCCTTTTCTCAACTGTGGATTCGCCCACATGTCGCCAGCAGGGTAGTTCACTGGTACGGCAGTCGCATTGTAGTTCCCAAGTTTTTGCAACAGCGCCATTACTATATCAGGCTTTTCTTCTGACATATCATAGAGTTCGTTGGGGTCTTCGTATACGTCAAACAACCATACCATTTTGTCCTTCCCTTCGCTCAGACGAATATTTTCCAAGCCTAGCTCCGGGGGCGCTGTCCAATACATCTGTCCTGCGAATACAGTGGCAGAATAATACATATTAGTAGTGCTATATTTCCCAAAATGCATTATGAAGGGGAAAGTTCGCAAACACTTCCGGTTTAGTATGGAATGTACTGTATATTAAATTACATTCTATTTTGGCCTTCTATTTTTGGAATAATTGTTTTTTTATATCTTTACATATGTGTATAATGGACTCAAAATACTTGGTCGGGTCGTAGTTACATTCTTGCCATCAGAACTGAACCCAAAATATATCCTGACGTTTTTTACGATATTGGTATTTGAATGCACTATCGACTTGCATAGAAGAACGCCAACTTACGTAGAACACATCATTCACTTACATCAAAAACACTAATTTACTTCAGTTAAACACACTATTGACTTACGTGGAACGCCTGTCACCAGTTTCCATTTGCCCACTCTAATGCCGCCTCGTACGCAGACATCAAAATATGGATTTGGTCGGAATTGATTGGTGGCAAGAGGGTTAGCACATATTTCCATAGGATCTATGTTGATGAGAAACTCGTTTCTTGGAGAGAACATTCCCTGGCTGCAAAAACCATGAATAAGAATACAATATTTTTAATACGTGCATTCCATCGTGGATACTATGTCGTCACTCACTTGATTATAAGTCCTGGATCCACGACGTGGTCAGAGTAGGCGATATTTATTTTTATCGCTGCATGCCCACACCGCCATGAATCCTTCTGTAGTGAAATGGGGTGCACGCGTAAAATAGAATACATGTAATACGCATGCGTACACCAGTAGTAACCTAACTTTGATTCTCCGTACTAAATTGCCGGGCCAATTTGCACGCATTTGAAGTACTAGTATAACTGAGGAAACGAGGATCTGAGAATCACTAATTAATATTTGGAGATCTTTGTTGCACAGTTACTTCTATCCATGGCGGTGTTTGAGCATCTGATGACCGAATAACAACGCCGTGGCCAACCCATGTTCCGCAAACAGGAAGGCAACATACTGACACAGCCGTTCAACTTGAAAAACGTACACAGAGTTGTTTCACATACACGGCCGCTGAACGAAGCAGTTATACCAGTTATAATTTTACTGACCTGATTGTGTCCCATTGGTTAAATCCATCCAATGGCTTCGTTCCAGAAAGATTACCCTCAGCCAGGTGAACAAACGTCGGGAACCAATCAGTGACGTGTATGAGTTGATTATTTTCAGTTCCTCTCACAGCTTCATCTAATAAAGGACTTGTGACAAACCCAACGCCCCGTATACCGCCCTCAAACATTGACCTTTTGCCACCTCGTAATGGCCAGTTATTACCACCCACACTAGTAGCACCTCCATTATCTGAGTAGAAGATAACAAGTCCGTCGTTATATCAAACATAGAGGGCGCTCTCCCAAACTCAACGTAATTAATGAATGAGATCGTGTTATACTGAATATAGGCATCGTTACATATTACCCACTTGTTCGCATCTAATGAAAGAAGGGGTGCTCTTAGATACAGTCAACCTATGCGGGTATTTGGCTTATGTCATAATACGTTATGGGAACGCCCCGACGTCGACGGAAATTGTTAAAGCGCGGTGGTCGTCGCGCAGCGCGTGTTCGAATTTCATGTAAATAAACAATGTATTTTACATGCGTTGTATACGTCGCTATGAGTCCCATATCGAACAGGACGCGGTGCGACGACCACCGCCCTTTACAAGGGAGCCCACAAGATAACATTAGCGGTGATATGTGTACTAACGTTATTGTTTTGTTAATTTTAACTTCGTGTAAAATGGGTTATTTCAACTAGGTCATAGTCCAGTTCCCCCCCCCCATTGTAACAATATTGAAGACAATATTATTGAACGCCACTGAAACGCAAATAGCTCGTTCTATGACAAACAAGTCTGTAAGCCATGTGTAGTGTACCAACCAGAGGAGAGGGCGTCTAGGTCAAGTTTTGCAAAATACTGTACCTGTTGAAAATATCAGCACTGTGTTGTCCCACATTCCAGTGTCCATCAACGCCTTTGTGATATTCCAGATAGCCTCATCCATACAGGTAACCATGGCAGCCTTCTTTCGCCGTTGTTCGTCTTCAATGATACCCTCATACATGGCTTCATACTCACGTGGTACATCTAGTGGGTTGTGTACAGCGGCGAATGGCAAATACAGGAACATTGGCTGCAATGAAAATATTACGTCCTATGTTTGTCCTAACACTTCACCATTGTCGCCATTTTGTTCATTCTATTCCGTTGAAATACTAGTTCTCCAAATGTCTATAGTGCATTCACTCGATGTAAAAATGACGGGCCGGTGAGCAATGTGCCGTGAATCATTCATTTTATACGGTCATGCATGTTTGCGACGTAATTAAACATACTATATCTTTACTAGTACTGACTCTTTAATGTGTCGGTCATGTGACACACCTTGATGTACCTGAAGAGCGGTTCGATATGGGTGCATGTAGTGTACTCAAAGCGTGTTAAGTACATTGTTTGTTTTTTTCGCATGAAATCCGAACATCTACTGTACGACGACCGGCACGATGGGGATAAAAACAAGAAGGTCACATCTTTTACACGGCTCAGTCGATTGTTTCCGTTGTTAAAGTAAGAAACCAGATTAATTGATCGAATGTGCCAGATAACTGCATTAGTATATATAGTACTGACATACACCATAACATACTAGTACCCCCCCCCCCACACACACACACACCCACACACTTTCTCACATCCGAGTGAATGTCCAGAAAAACTTGAAACTTAATTCATGACGTACCGTCTCCTGGTCATGGTTCCAAATCACTCGTTGAGCCTCTTCCGCAAACAAAATGGTGGAGTACTCTCCTTTGTGTTCCTTGGCAACACAGTCATGGTTTCTGAAGAGATCCCATCCAAACATAATGGTCTTGTTTCCACTTTCAGGGGTATGCCAATATCCAAAATCGTAGGTGTAGTGGTATATTAGACAGTTTAGAAATCCTACAATGATGATAACAAATTAAAACCTTATACAAGACAGACCACACTACGAGTATATATATATATATATATATATATATATATATATATATATATATATATATATATATATATACCCGAAATTTTGACTTTATTAAAGCGGAGGGTTTTATATTATCTTACATATTTTCATAATTTACTTGTATTTATTTAATTTAGTTATTTATTTATTTATTGATTTCCTTGTACAATGTAATACTTACAATCTATGGCGAATAAATAAATAAATAAATATTAAAATATTATCAAGACTTATTGACTTTCGTATGTGAACTACATTATCATATGGTTACGTCTTTTCAGTAGCCGAGCCAATAGGAAATCATATGAGCCAAAAATGAGAAAGATCTAAATATCTACAAATCATTAAGCAACAAAGATACGTAATTATATTTTTGTATGTAAGAGTTAGTTACCGAAAAACGTGTCGAATCCTCTATTGATGGGAAGGCACTCTTTTCTGTAGAAACCAAGATGCCATTTACCAACCATATGTGTTGCATAACCGGCTTCTTTCATCTTTTGCGCAATGGTGACTTCATCGGGTGGTAGACATGCACGTTGGTCTGGTTGAATCACCAAGTGCTGCAATCCATACCGGATCTGATGAACGAAAAGATTATGTTACTGTTATTTTAATTCCATAAAGTGAATTCAACTTTTGTACGACTGTGTCAGACTGGAGAACTTGAATTCAAGAGAGGATAGCATATATTACAATGACGACGTTCATTAGCGCCCGCCATCGACTGTACACAAACTTTTGCGTTGAGAGCCATACAAAATATTTGTATAATCCGAATTCGATTTAAGGCAGCGAGAAGGGGAAGCGAGTAATAGTTTAATTGTGAATTGCTATGACAATGTATTTGTTTTTAGAAAGCTGAAACTAGGATAATACGATCGTGTATTTTTCGTGTTAATATTTGCTCAGGGGATTAAGTTACGGACATTCCCACGAATCTCCTAAAATTAGTTTTTTTATGCAGTTTCCCGTCGTTTGTTATTTATATGAGTTCGATTTTTCAATGTTGCTTTATAAGATAATAATTGTTGAAACTGGGTCTAGGAATTGTTATATGGCTCATAGTTTTCGGGATATAGGACGAAGACTAAATTTCATGAATATCTTCGTAATAGTGGATGGACATAGTAAGTAGTATCAACTACCGCAATGACTTCTTCGTATTTGATAAATTACCAGTATATTATCAAGTTGTGAATCACGTCCCCTGATACAGATTTGCTAAATATTTTTTTTCTTTACAATTTCACAAATTATGTGTACTCTTGGCAAATGGAAGTGCCCTATAAAACCACCATTCATTGGATTATTATGACGTCATCGGTGAAATTGAGGCTCCGAACAAAAATAATCATGGTTGATTTGTTTCTGGCAAAATGTCAACACCATGAGCAAGAAAATGCCGTTATCTTGATTGAGGATAACTCACATTCGTGATTGGCTAATCATCACCATTGTCTTACGCAACAATCGTACCCAACACATTTGATTTGAAGAGAACGGCAGAGGGCGCCATTTAAGTAACTAAATCAAACTACCTGTGTAAGTGATATCAGTTATTAAAATGTCGCTTTTTTGTAGTTATTTTGGGAAAGAAACCCCTAGTACTGTAAAGGCCGGTATATTAGTTATAATTATTGTACGTGAACAACGTAACGCGGATCCACCAAACAATGAACATTTGCACTTAGCATTGAACTACACAATTGGCCATCTGCTTTTCATGTCAAACAAGAATGTAAGGATGTAACAGTTGGTGCAGTAGTAACAAAGCTAATCATGCAAATATTAACAACTGTCACGATCCGTGTGTTCTGACCTGTGAATTTAATGGTGCGGGATGAATTCAAACAATAGCTAAGAATTGACATCGTCCTAAGAGAGAACTATCGTGACCAGAAATTCTTTATCTTTATTTTTTCTGAAAATTAAAATATTCACAATTCAAACTAAAACAAGACATTTCTGTTGAGCAATTGAATAGAAAATGACGTCATTGTGCACTATTCACGTTGATTGACAGGTTGGATTCAACTACTACTAATATTGTACATGTGTTCATTTCTTTTCATTTGTTACACATATAAATCTAAGAGTATTGTACAAAATTGAATTTGAAATAGGTATAGGGGAAAGAAAATAGCTGCAGCTAATCCAGTCTGTTCCCCGTTCAAAAAAAAAATATTTGGATAAATAAATTATAGGGCGAAAAGTAACTGTACATCATACTATTAATTTGTAATGAATAAATATATATATGATAGAAATATATATAAACGCATTATAGTACGCATTATAGTATATATACATAATAAAAACTCGGATGTATAAAAAGAACAAAATATATCAGGAGAAGTTAAAGACTGGAAGCAAATACTAAATATGGTCACTCCACATATTTATAAAATTCAAGTTAAAGGAATGGGTTCGTGGTAAAAATAGTAAAGATAATCTCCATGCAAATCAGGATGCTGAATACATGTTCATTGGAGGTAACATTTATTTTAGTTTCCTAATAAAATCGCACGGCCGCCGAGATCTCGTTCAGAGCGAAAGAGTCACATGACTTTTTTCTAATTCTTGCAGCTTTACGTCATAAGTCATTTTACACTTCGGCCGTTCGTTTGCATCATGCAATTATTTTGGACCAGCGTTTGTACGTACACATATTATGAAATGTTCTTTTTATCACGAATGACGTCATTACAAACTCTATTTGTCATACACGAAATATTCATGTTTTTTGATGGTTTTAATAATTTTTAGTAGATATTGTAATCTGTCGCATACGACATATTTACCTTTCCGTGTCACTGAGAATGTTCTAGAACCGTACTGTGTCTGGGTGGAATATTCTATTTTTTTTAGAAAATGGTTGAATAGGTAATAGAACACTGTAGGAGGTAGTGGAAGGTAATAAAACATTCTAGAAATTTGTAGTAAGTGCCAGACTCATTATGTATGCTGATGTAATGGTCTATTTATAGACAGTGGAGGTATACATAGGGAAGTTGTTCAGCACTGAGTTCAGATCGGAGATCTCGTTGAATGGTATTGGAGTTTAAGTATCTAGTCATTGAAGTAGTGGAGTTTTACCGCGTTATTGTACTTGATGTTTGCAGAGTATAATAATACCAGTACCAGTTGAAACCTCATCTGTTGGCTCCGTGTTCGTATTTTATCATCGCCGCCAGGGAAGTCTTTCTGTTACTGTTGCCATTTTGGTATTTGAACCATCACACCTGTACTATACCAATTACGGTAATATTACATTGCGTGTGACATAATCATTTATTTACTGAGTTTTTATAATTTGGGTTTTGAGTGGGTCATTTACGAATTCGGTCTATTGCTAGTTATTAACTAGTGATAAACTAGACTTGTAGTTGGACATACAACCTTCTATTCATAAGTGTGGCTTAAGTATGCCTACAATTGTAATCAATAAACTGAAAATTTCACACTACATTGAGCACGTGGGATATTAATTCATGTTTTGATATTTACATATAACTCTATTGTCAATATACGAAGCTGAGACGATGAGGCAACAGCCTGTACGAATACAAAAGTGACACACTAATGGGTATACATTGCAATATTATTTATTTCAGTCGAAAATAGAATACTCGTCATACCATCTGGGACTGTGAATTGTGTAAGCCCTTCAGATTCAGCATATAATCAAACTATATTAACATGAGTTGCCTCATGCATATGTCAAAATGTCGACAAAACAATTGAAAAAATGAAGCATTAACCCTGATCAAAAAAATCCATTAATACTTGTCAATGTCAATATGATACTTCTTCCTTCGTGTTACTATTAGGCAATTACAAGGTAGCAAATAAACATGCGCCAGACAACACGTGATCTTCGGTGACCCATGGTGAATAACGTATGTTCCAATAAATTGACTTCGGTGAAAATTGATTCATCAGACTTATATCTTCAAAGAGGTCTTTTTACTATCTGTGTAAGAACACACCCAGGATTTTTTTTTCTAAATCAGTCATGAAACAAGTTACGGACAACGCGCACAAGGGTTATAAGATAACGAGTGTTATAAGATAGTGAGGGTTATAAGATAGT